AGCCACTTGGAATAATTGTAATTTTCCCAGATAAATTTCTATACTCAAAAAGGAAAGTTTATTTAATTTGCTTCAGATCTTTCTAGGAATGAGGTATGGTATATAAGTAAATTTAAAAGTATTCTAAATTGTTTCCACTTCCCTGCCAAGTGAAAGGGCCTGAGTTCAATCCCTGGTTCCGCCAAAAAATTTTAAAAAATAAAAAAATAAATTGTTTCACTAGTTAAAATTTTGGGATGAATCTTACCTATAGTTTATGTATTTCTAAACATAAGGGAAATATGCATAGTTTTAACCAAAAATAGCTGTAGTATTGTACATACAGTTTAGTGTCTTAATTTATAATCTACTGTGATTTTTTTTTTTCTTCAAATATTAGGTGTCCTAGTTGCCTATGAAGGCTTGCCACTTCATCTTGCACTGTTCCCCAAACTTTGGACTGAGCTATGCCAGACTCAGGTAAAGCAAATAAGTTTCAGATGATTTGATCTTCAATATCATTGGACCAAGTGGTAAAAATTTTAGGAACCAGTTTTTGTAAATGGCTAGAATTGGATAATTAGAGTTTCTGGAAATATTAGCAATTAAACATTGAGTTTTTAGTATCCCTTTGAGGGTTTTTTCTTTAGATTTGTATCATAGAGGATATTTCAAGCAAGTTATTTATAGATGAATTTCTCATATATGTCAGTACTAACAGTTTGGGGGTAAGGTCCAAACCAGGAAGATACTAGGGAAACAACTTCTGCGTCGCATCTCTCCCTCCCCTGTTGTCCTTTAGCTTTTCCTAATTTGTTAGTTGTTCGTTCCTAATTGTTGTTTTTCAGGAGTCCATGCATTTGTTCTATCACTTTTAAGAGACTATTCTTCCTACCTCAGTACCTAAGGGCCAGCTCCTTAAAGTGCACATATAAATAATGCCTGTGAAATTGGAGAGGGAGAAAGGAAAGAAGAAGCCATATTCATCCGTCGGCTTAGTCCTTGGATCTGGACTACAAGTCTAAAACATGAATTCTAAAAACATGAATTAAATAAAAAAGGATTGCTTCTGCCCAGCTGCATCTGCCCTGTGCCAGAGAAAGAGAGGAGTTGGCCTTCCTCAGGCCCGAGCCTTTTGCACGTTATAGTTTCTAAAATACTTCAAGTCTAGTCTAGTCTGCATATTCTGCTACATATCACACTGTACTGTAGTGGTTCTGTTCTTTTCACAAATTGTAATACCTTATGTAGACTCAGCTGTGTTCCCTGAAGAAAAGTTATTTTTTCTTTAGAGACCCTTGGAACACATTGATCTCATTTAGTTTGCATGACGTGGCACATAATTGGCGTTTTAAAAAATGATCTTTTTTTTTTTTTAATTTAAAGAAAAGCTAAATAGTTCATTTAGTAAAAGGAGTCAACTTTCCCCCTCTGCTAGTAATGTTCTTATAGACAAGAGATGTCCCAAGCACTAAGGACCTAAAGACTTGGGCCCTGGTTGTACCCTTAAGTTCTTCGGTGATCTTGAGTAATTTGCTTACAACAGGTGCTCACTCTAATTGAATACCTAGACAGACACATTTGTACATGCTATGTAAAATTTACCCCACTGGTCATTTTCCATATAAACTAGAAAATATATGATTAAAGCATAAATAGAAATTTAGGGCTGGGGAGAGAGCTTAGTAGAATAGGGTGCTTGCCTGGGAAGCGCAAGGGCCTGAGTTCAACCCTCGGTTCTGCAAAAAGAAAAAGAAATTTAAGGAGTACAGTGTATGTGTTTAAAGACATACTACTTGTATTTAAGATCCATGACCATTTAAAAACAGGAAAACTACATTTTAGTAGAATTTTCATCTGTTGGGACCCACTGATTCTGTAGATACAAAAAGAGATTGCTATTTATTTTCTACTTCTTACTGGTGGGTATTTACCAAACAAATACACATTCATTGGCCCCCTAAAGATAGTCTCATCCTATTAGCTATTTTCCCAGCCCTTACTTACGCTCAGTGCTGAATAATAAACCTGCATTTGTTTTAAAGCCTATTTGTTCAGTATTGCTACTTAGTGTCTCCCTTCAGGCCTAATTATATTGTCTAAATTAGAAGTAGTGTAGTGTATTGGGAGTATAGTTCCTGTCAACCAAAAATTAAATAGACTGAATCAGAAGTGTCTTTAGGATTTAAAGTGACTTCAGAACTTAAATCTTTAAAAAAGACTTAAGATGTCTAATCCTAAGTATTGAAGGTCCTCCATCACTTCAGTGCTTCTTTTCCCCACTGTAGTCTGCTATGTCAAAAAACTGCATCAAGCTTCTGTGTGAAGATCCTGTTTTTGCAGAATATATTAAATGTATCCTAATGGATGAAAGGATGTTCCTAAACAACAACATTGTCTACACATTCATGACACATTTCCTCCTAAAGGTATGTAGAAGCTGAAATGTGTTATTTCCAGTTAATGTATGTTTCCATTATGTTGACCCTTGAGAGATGTTTTTGTAAATTATTTTTTTCAGGTTCAAAGTCAAGTGTTTTCTGAAGCTAACTGTGCCAACTTGATCAGCACCCTAATTACAAACTTGATAAATCAGTATCAGAACTTACAGTCTGATTTCACCAGTCGAGTTGAAATTTCCAAAGCAAGTGCTTCCTTAAATGGGGTAAGAGCTGTGCCCAAGGGTAGGCGTGGTGTTCAAAGCTTTCCTTAAATTAACTCAGTATTGTGGCCTGCATGAGTTTACTATCTGCCATTAACTTGCTCTTCAAATCTGTCACATGTGATGAAAAGAAGGAAAACATTTCCCAAAGTGTTCCCCCATTTGGCACATATTTTGTATGACATCAGAAGATGGGAGCTGCTGGCACCGGGTGTGTTGGGCAGTGATATCATTAAAATTATCTTTCTTCTCATTTATATGTTTTGAAACATTTTAGGATCCTAAATAATCAAGATAATCAGACTAATCATCTGTTGGTTTATAAAAGCAGTTAAAACTAGAAAATAAGTTGTCTTGTATTTCCAGTGACAGTTCTACAAGGTGTGTATGTTGCCAGAGATTACACATGTTCAGCAACAACTTTGCTAAGTAACAAGATGCCAATAACCCAGAACAAATGCCAAAGCTACGTGCAGAAAGTTTATTTGTGACATACACAAGTTAGCTTCAGAAACTGATTTGCATTAGTAAGACCTAGATTTCATATGCATTATTCAAAGTTTGATTGTAAAATTACTAATGTGAATTTGCTTTTTCCTTTTTGTCTTTTTTAGTTTCAAAACTGTGGTTTATTTGTGGGCATAAAATAATGGCATTAGTGTCTTAGAAGTAATGAAACACAGTAGTATCCTAGCCCTGGCTATTTAATTTTAACATTTTTCTAAAAATGGCAAAGAAACCAAGGTGATTTCCTGGGAAAATAAACTGCAAACAGTTGTCAGAATGTTGGCTTTGGGATTTGAAATGTTCCTGTCTGGGTTTTTGTAGGATCTGAGGGCACTTGCTTTGCTCCTGTCAGTTCACACTCCCAAACAGTTAAACCCAGCTCTAATTCCAACTCTGCAAGAACTTTTAAGCAAATGTAGGACTTGTCTACACCAGAGAAACTCACTCCAAGAGCAAGAAGCCAAAGAAAGAAAAACTAAAGGTTAGCTTTATGAACTAGTATCTTTATCTTCAGGGTTGGGGATAGGGATAATATACTTGTTTTGCCAACTTTATAATAGCTATCTGTTCTGTTGAACCTCCTAAATATCAGTGCTAAGAACAAAAATATCTTCCCATAGCCCTCAGTGTCATTTTTCCTTTCATTTGTGCTATTAATTTCTTAGATAATCTTCCATTTCCATGTTCTCTTCACAGAAGATGAAGGGGCAACTCCTGTTAAAAGAAGGCGTGTCAGCAGTGATGAGGAGCACACTGTCGACAGCTGCATCAGTGATGTGAAAACAGAAACCAGAGAGGTTCTGACTCCAACCAGCACATCAGACAATGAGACTAGAGACTCCTCAATTATCGATCCAGGAACCGAGCAAGATCTTCCTTCTCCTGAAAATAGTTCTGTGAAAGAATACAGAGTGGACATCCCATCTTCGTTTTCAGAAGACGTGTCAAATATCAGGTCACAGCACACGGAGGAGCAGTCTAACAATGGAAGATTTGAAGACTGCAGAGAACTTAAAGATCTCCATTGTTCCAAGGATTCTACCCTGGCCGAGGAAGAATCCGAGTTCCCTTCTACTTCTATCTCTGCAGTTCTGTCTGACTTAGCTGATTTGAGAAGCTGTGATGGCCAAACTTTGCCTTCCCAGGACCCTGAGGCTGCTTTATTACTCAGTTGTGGCCATTCCAGAGGACTCTCTAGTCACATGCAGCAGCATGACATATTAGATACTCTGTGTAGGACCATTGAATCTACAATCCATGTGGTCACAAGGATATCTGGCAAAGGAAACCAAGCTGCTTCTTGACATTAGATGTAGCATGTCTACTTTTAAGTCCCCCCCCCCCACGCTGTTTGTATAAGTTTTGCTTATTTGTTTTTGTGCTTCAGTTTGTCCAGTGCTCTCTGCTTGAATGGCAAGATAGATTTATAGGTTTAATCCTTGGTCAGGCAGAATTCCAGATGAAAAAACTTGCATCTTCAGTATACTTTCTAAAGGGCAATCAGATAATGGATATGTTTTATGTAATTAAAAAAAGTTCACTGTAGTGGCTTTCATTTAATATGGCTGTCTGGGAGAAACAGGGTTCCCCAGCCCTGTACGATGTAATTTAAACTTACAGCATTTTTACTGTGTATAATATGGTGTCCTCTGTGCCAGTTTTGTACCTTATAATAGAGGCAGATTGCCTCCAATCGCTGTGGTTCTTATTATCAAAATTAAGTTTACTTGTATACGGAACAACCACAAGAAATTTGATTCTGTAAAGAATCCTCTTTAGCTGTGGCCTGGCAGTATATAAATGGTGCTTTATTTAACAGAATACCTGTGGAGGAAATAAAGCACACTTGATGTAAAAATAATTGTTTTATTTTTATTGACATGACTGATTGCTATTCTGTGCACTTAATTAAACTGATTGTGATGACTTTTCATTTGTTTATATATGTTGCTTCAGTCTTCTCAGATGAAAATAATGAGGAAAGTGAGTGGGGGAAGCACTTACCCATTCTGCTCTATTACATTCAACTTAGTGGCATTCTAAAACAGCAACTTACCCATGTACTTCTCAACTGTCTCCACCACTAAGTGCATAATAGTCACAAGGTCAACCAAAGAAGATAAGGAGGAGTCACAGCACTCCAGCTAGCCCACACACCACAACTAACATGCTTCTGAACGTAACATGCCACTGCTTGACTAAGCTATACACCTTAGAAACACTAAAGTAAAATAAAGGAATAGTATAATATGCCATTTATTTTGTGTTCTGGAACTTAAAAGTACAGCTGAAGGCCAACTTGTTAGCATGAGCTTTAGCTTGAGAAACTTCAACTACTTGCACACAGAGATTTCAACCTCTTACTAGAGGAACTCTATGGAAAGTGAAGCTGATAGTTTCAGATTGCTTACCACTCTGAACTCAACGCAGAGTAATCAGTCATCGCTTTTAAATTCTGTTCGTGAATTTCATCTGATATAAATTGAGTTTTGTTGTTTTTTTTTTTTAAAGGAAGTACTGATAAAGAGGTAAACATGAAACTTTGCACTATAAAAAGTAATGCCCCTAATATAAAAGCTATTTCAGCTATTTAGGGTAATCAGCTGCAGTAAACATTTTATTTCTTCAAAATGCTGCTTCTGCCAACAGAATTTCATGTTCTCTTCTTTACAGATGGGAACTCCTTTACAGTCCAATTGTAATTCCGTTTGCCCTAGAGTAGGCATAAAACTCAGTGCTACTGTTGCATAGTGCTCTAGAAGAAAAACAGGAGCCTTATTACTGAATTAGGAAAAGGAAAATTTACCCATACCAGCTTGTTTTCTGAACATTATATATGAAGGGCACAAACTATACCTTCTGGCCAGTTTTTACATCTCCATTTCATGACGATCTTTCTATTTATTAACTGAAATCAAAAGAGGAAATGCCCCTGAAAACATTTTCAGTTGAAAACATTACTTTCTAGAAGAATCAGTGAACAGTTTCACCTTCCAGTTGACATGCCAGTGCCACTGATAATCCATTGTCTTTACTACCAAGAAATGTTTTATAGCATGTGAACATCCAATAGGAAAATATTGACAGCCACAACAGGGCCAGTGTCAAGGGTGAGGCAACTGACATTCGGCAACAAACTAATGATTTCAGTGGCAGAACTAGAATGTATGTATATATATATATATATATATATATGCTGAAATGTCTAGGAGAAACTAGGATTTAGGCCTGTTTCTATCATAATAAGCACTGGCACAGTTGGTAGACTGAAGGTTTCATCTTTATCATTATTTAGTATATATAAAGTTCATTTAACAAAAGACAACATAGAAACATACCTGACCCAATTAGGGGAACAACACAGACAGTCACTACTTAAGCTCATGACACTACTCATGTGGCTGCCATCTCCACAAGATTCATCCGGGTACCTGCTCCCGCAGTGCTCCTAGACAAGTCTGGCACCATTTAGTTTCAGTGATTCAGGTCCTTAAGTTTCACTTAGGCCAGTGAGCTTTCCTCATGTCCACGCCACAGCCTCAGCTCCTCTGGAAGGGTTCTAAATAACATTTCTAGTTTTCCTCTATAACCAACTTCATAAAGTTTCTCAAGATTCTATGAGCTCAGATAAAAATCCAGAACAAACTAAAATCAGTATGGACAAAGGCAGTAACAGCAAAAGAAGAGTTAAGTGCCAGCTTGGGTTTTTGTTTTTTGATGTACTAGAGAAGGAACCCAGGCCCTTCACCCTGGCATTAGGTCCCCCAGCCCCTTGGCAGTGCTGCACTTGTGAGGACTGCCTCAAGTTCAAGCCTGGCCTAGGCTACATAATTCCAGGTCAGCCAGCACTACATATGAGACCCTGTCTCAAAAACAAAATGCAAAGAAAAAACTTGAGTTGAGGGATCTCAGTAAGTTGCCTAGGCTGAGCTTGAATTTATAAACCCTCCTGCCTTAACCTTGCAGTGCTAGGACTATCCCAGCTCCCCGCTTAGTACTATTGAGATTACTTACCAGTTCTATGTATTCACCTGTGATGGTCCCATCAAACATCTGGAATTTCCCTCCCTTTTCAGCTTCCAGTACAGCAGGAGATTTAGAAAATTTTTGCACCAGCTAGCCAAGCAAAACACAGTAGACATACTATTCAATACATGCTGTTAACTTTCATGTGTGCAGGTGTATGCATGTGTTCCTGAAATCAAATTCAGAGCCTTGTACATGGTAGGAAAGCCCTAAGCTAGGAAACCACTAACTTACATCTCCAGCCATGTAAAGTACATCAAGTACATTTTTTTTTTTTCTAGAGGGAGAAAACATGGTCTACTAACACATCAAGTCCACAGGACCAACACAGAGCCCTTCAAAGAAAAAAAAACAGAACTCAGTGCTACTGTTGCATAGTGCTCTAGAAGAAAAACAGGAGCCTTATTACTGAATTAGGAAAAGGAAAATTTACCCATACCAGCTTTAGTTTTCTGAACATATATAAAGGGCACAAACCATACCTTCTGGCCAGTTTTGCTCATTATATATGAAAGGCACAAACCATACCTTCTAGCCCTCTTCTCTGGCACACTTCTGCCATTCTCAGCAGGCAGGATACTGGCTTAGGGAGTTACTTACATCTTTCACAGTGAAGATGCTGTACAGCTGCTCCACCGTTGTGTCAAACAGTTCCGTCATGTGTAGAGCCACAGTGGGAATCTTTACACCCAAGGCCACTGGAGAGGAGGCCTGAATCTCAAGAGAATGAAAGGTTCCAGAGACAGCATACCACAAGAGACTGCTACTGAGGTGTAAGTCTTCTCAGTAAAACACAGTCCCCAATTCTGCCCTACCCCTTCTAAACACATGAAATCAGCATGAAAAACCTTATGCCTTAGCTGTACCAGTGCTATCTTTGGAAACAAAGCTCACTGTACCAAGCTCTTTAGCTCTGTTTGTTTCCCAGGTGATGACTCAACTGCCCTAATTCTAAACAGACAGGCAAATAAGGCCCGACAGGATGGAAAGATGAGTCCACTTAAGGTTAATAGGTTTTAGTTGCATCCACCTTCCTATTCCCCAATTCCCAGAACAGGATGTAAAATCTCCCATCCCAAAGTGAAAGAGAAAAGGTTCATCCATTGTGGTATGTCAGCTTTAGTTACCTAGTTCTGTAATTTGCTACCGAAGAACACACCATTTACAGCAGTCTTGGATTAAATTTACTATTTATCCCACAAAAAGGTCAGTTTATACATCCCCTTCCACCAAGAACAAAAAGTGTTAGGCTGGGGTTCTAGCTCAGTAGTAGAGCACGTGCCCAGTATGCATGAAGCCCTAGGTTTGATCTCCAGCCCCAAAATAAAATTTTACTTTCTACAACAAAATGTGCAGATCTAAAACCTTACGGGGGATGCACAGGTGGGTCAATGCCCTAAAAAGCTGTACTTTCTTCCCCTCCCATACTTTGGCCACCAAAGGTCCTACCTGCAAGGTGTTTTCAGTCAGTTTCCTTTTAACAGTCAATTCCTGGTTTGTGAAAGCTTTTGTTGGTAAAATCATTCCCATGGTGAATTCTATAGAGACGTTGGAAAAGGTTTTTAGAAAGGCATATTTCATGTTAAGCACAAAAGACAAAGTAAAAAAAAAAAAAATAGAGCATGAAAAAATAAAAGAACTGATATTTACCAAATTCCTATACCATTTGAGAATTTCAAGACCATTCCATATCTTTCCTTATGAAACTGATCCTTTACATGAACTCCACAGAAACAAGTCTTTTATTCTTTCCCGTTTCAAATGCTTCATTTTATCAAGTTCTCAAAACCAGAAAATATTTCAAAAGCTCTTTTCCAAACAGCTACATTTTTTATTACTGACTGCTAGCAGCTCTGTGCCCCTTGCCCACTACCAAAACTGAGACTCTCTCAGTGTCCCCCTCCGCGCCCCCCGGAGCTTGCTCTAGGTGGCAAGCCTGTGAGCCAGCAGACGCAGTCTGGGCAAGGGACAAGAGCGTCGACCCCAGACCCAGGAGTGTCTACAGCAGGTAAGGTCCAGGGGTAAAGTGCAGGCTAAGGCTCTGTCAGTCATTCTGCCTGGCTGGAACTCTAAGTAGAGGAAAGGTAATGACCTCAAACCCATGCTGTGCAGGGATTATCTGTGTGTATCTTAGCTATACCTGTGATACCTGCAATCATTCTCATGCATACATTCATTCATCCAACTAAGATTTATTCAGCACCTACTCTGTGCCAGGCATTGTGCCAGATGCTGGATGGAGGCAGAGCAGTGAACAAGGTAGACACCTCCCAGGCCCTCACAGAGCTTACTCTAGCAGGGAAGACAGACACGCAACAAAGAATTACACAAACCACTAAGTGACCACCATTCCAGAAAACTGCTAATGACACTGCAGGCAACACGGTTCACACTATGCCTGCCCCAATGACCACCAAATACAGCCTTACCCAGGACCAGCTTTCAACAGCCACACTACAACTTATGCTGCATTATGAAGAGGGTTTCTGGGGCCTAACCTGGGAATCCAGATCACAGTCCAGAGCATTACTTGGGCAAATAGGAAAGGGACCCTCTGGTTCACAAGGGATGGTGCCTTCTTTACCCGTCTTAAGTGCCTTCAGGTAATCTCCAAGGGCCTCCCTGACCTTGGCGGTGCCTGCAGTTTTCATAAGATCCTTCAGTATTTCCCCATCTCCTTTCTTTTTACTCACGTTCACCTACAAATCAGAAAAACACAAATCTAAGAAAAATCTGATTTGATGAATTACACATCTAGCCACAGGTAATGGGGAGGGAAGCAGCAGTTCTGAGAGGCAACCGGCTTCTTCAGGTTTCTTCTGCATGTAGCTGGACAGAAGGGAAGCGCTGGCAATTGAGGGTGCGTTGGTGGCGATGGTGGCCACATCAGAGTGACTTCACAGAACGGGAATCCTTGCATTTGCATCCAAACCAGGAGCTATAGGGACTGAAGTACTGAACTGGACCAGGGCAGAAACCTGCTGGCCACGTGGCAGCCACTCACCACAAGGGGTTTCCGAGCACTTAAAATGTGCCTGGTGCGAGCTGAGTTAAATAATACACACCAGACTCCAAAGACTCATACAAAGAAAACACAAAATACCTTATGAAGCATTTTTATATTAGTTACATATTAAGATATCGTCACATACTGGGATAAATAAAACACTGTTAAAATTATTTCTCTTGGGGCCGGGGAGATGGCTCAGTAGGATAAGCGCTTGACTGGCAAACACAAGGATCTGAGTTCTATCCCCGGTTCCACAAAAAAATAATAATAATAATAATAAAATAAAATAAAATAATTTCTCTTGTTTTTTAATATGGCAATTTTTTATACTGCACATGTGGCTTGCACCATGTCGTACAGCACTACCCTAGAACCCCAAAGCATGAGAATCAGGAAATTCCAGTTCCCCTATAACCTGGCCTTGGCTACACCCTTTCGGCAGGGGGGACAGCAGGGTAAGGGAGATGAACAGAAGAGACACATGCTGAGGGGAGGAGACCTGTGAGGACAGCGCCACAGTGCTCAGAGCAAAACACCTCCCTGAACCACTTCGGTCCCAATGAATGATTTAGCTGAGCTGGGCCTGACCCCTGGCCCATTCAAATCTAGAGTTTCTTCTGCTATGCTACTAAGGGATCAAATCTAAAAGACTACGCAGGGGCCAGGGAGATGGCTCAGTAGAATAAGTTCTTGCCTAGCAAGCACAAGGGCCTGAGTTCAATCCCCAGTTCCATTAAAAAAAAAAAAAAAAAAAAAAAAAGACCCAGGGCCGGGGAGATGGCTCAGTGGAATAAGTGCTTCCCTGGCAAGCGCAAGGGCCTGAGTTCAATCCCTGGCTCAAAAAAAAAAAAGAAAAAAAAAAAAAAAGGACTACGCTAACTGCTGCTGCCAACAGTCTGAACATGGCAAAGTGAAATTACAGCCTGAAAGTAGCAACCGTGGGTCTGAAAGGTATGTCTGAGACAGCCTCATCTTTATGGCTTTTTTTTCTTTTTTTTTTGTATTTTAGGGAAGGTTCTACAGGGTGTACAGGGTCTCACTACGTAGATCAGACTCGTACTGATCTGCCTGTGTTCAGCCTCCCAAAGAGCTGGGATTATAGGCATGCGCCACCTCGCCCAGTTTCAATCACGGGCTCAGCCACCCCAGGGGCAGGACCAGCATGGCAAGCTGGGGATTGAACCCTGGCCACTGCATCCACTGAGCTATTTGGCCAGCCCTTTACCTTTACGGCTTTTGAAAAGCTTAAAAAAAAGTGAGTCAAAAGAAATGCTGCTCAGGGGCTAGAGAGATGGCTCAGTGGTCTAAAGCACCTACTTGGAACAAGCTTGGCAAAGTACAGGGACCACGGTTCGATCCCCCAGCACCACATGCCAGCCAGAACGCCCCCTGGTGGGCTGAGCTGGCCACACACACACACACACACACACACA